TTGTATGTGTGTATTATGTGTATATATGTGTGGCTGTGGTGTGTGCACACACATGTGCATGTAGGGCAAAGGATAACTTCAGGTATCATTCTTAGAAATGCCATCCAACTTCTTTGAGACCAGGTCTTTTATTGTTCTGACATTCACCAACGAGGCTAGGCTGGCTGGTCAGTGAGCCCCAGAGATATTTCTTTCTCTGCCTCCCCAGGACTAAGATTATAAGTTTGCACCACCACATACAACATGCGGTCTGTGGATCAATACTTGTGAAGCAAGCACTTTATCAACTCATCTCCCAAGTCCCCAGGAACCTTTTCTTGCTTCTCTTTGGTACCAAGGCCAAGATGAAGAACTCTGCAAGAGGCTAGGTGCCTCTCTGGAAACAAAACTATTCAGGTGACTCTGACTAGATTTCAAATGTGCCCTTTAGGGAAGAGACCTAAGTGAGGTATGTGTTCTGTAGCTTTGCCTTCATCTGCTCCAGAGCCACACATAGAGCCTCCAAGTTCCCAGTGGGGTCTTACTGTTGGGAGCAATGAGACCCAAGATCCTGAATTTCTTGTAATCCCCTGATCTGAGTGCCTACAGCTGCTCTGAGGACGAGACCTTCAGGAGTTCCTGATGGCAGCAGAGTGGTTTCTGGTGGGTTTGGCTGGGGCGTGGCTATCTCTATATAAGCTGCCCCTGAACACAATAAAGTGGGCATTCTTGGGGAATTCAAGGATGACCCGTCTCTCTCTCTCTCTCTCTCTCTCTCTCTCTCTCTCTCTCTCTCTCTCTCCCCCTCCCCTCCCTCCTCCCCCTCCTCCCCCCTCTTTCTGTGTGTGTGTGTGTGTGTGTGTGTGTGTGTGTGTGTGTGTATTTTAACCTCCAGCCCCCTTGCCCGAAGCTTGCGAACTGTGTAATAGCACACCAAGCGCAGACACAGCTGCTCAGTGCGCGGCATCTTACTTGTTCTGTTGAGATCCAATGGGCATGTACTCCAGGGCAGCGGGTGTTGGAAGGAGTTGAGGAAGAACCACAGGACCCACAGAAGAACTGTGTTGTAGTACAGGCTGATCATGAAGGATACTGAGAAGCAGCCCAGGCCTGCAGACACAGTAACGCACCCAAAGTCAGGTAGAGAACAAAATGGAACTGTCCCGTTACATGTGGCCCGTCACAACTGCTTCTGTATCTTTCCAACTATCTTTGTCCTGTTTTTCTATGCTTGCCCTGTCTCTCACCATAAAGTGCCCTGCTCCCCAGTTAAGAGGCCCCCAAGGGACCTGAGCGGGTGGCACGGTCTGGGAATGGGGCATACCTACTCCACCAAGGTAGGGAGAGATGGTCCGCCACACGCCAATGCTGCCCCTTCGTAGGCGCTGGCCGATGGCGAGCTCGATGTAGAAGAGCGGAATCCCCTCAAAGACCAGGGCGATGAAATAGGGGATGAGGAAGGCCCCTGCAAGGACACAGGGTGAGCAGATAACCAGAGAGCCTCGTGTGCCCACGGCTGATCAGCGTGGTCGACGGAGTGATGGCATCATGAAGCCGTGCTCACAACAGTTTAAGCGCAGTGTCTGTTCCCAGCATGTATTTGGGTCATACCACCAGAGCGAGGGATGGCAGAATGACAAGAAGATCCCACCCAGACCTTAGGGCCTTTGGTGCTTTTTTTTTTTTAAGTAGTATTGTGGAAGCTAAGGACATAGCCTAGCGGTTAAAATGTTTGCTTTGCAAGCATGAGAATCTGAGTTCAAGCCCCAGAATCCTTGTAAAAAGCTGGGCATGGTTGTGCACACTTGTAATCTCAGCTCTGGAGGTGGGAGAGGTGGGCAGATCTCCGTAGCTTGTTGGACTGCGAGCCAAAGCCTACTTGGCAAATTCCAGGTCAGTGAGAGATCATGTATTAAAAAAAAAAAAAAATAAGGTAGCTGGCACCTGAGGAAACAACAGCTGATGTTGTTCTGTGGCCTACAAACACACACACGCACATGCACACACACGCACATGCACATGCACGCACACACACATACACAATATAGAAGCTAAGAAAATTTGGGGAACAAGTCAGCCTAATGTCCCAGCCGGGCCCCACAAGCTCACAACTGTTCTATTGGGAGCTGTTCCATGTTAGCTCTCAAGACAGTATAGTCTATATTTGAAATCTCTCCTCCTGCACCCCCAGTATAGAGCTATCATTAGTGTGGCTTTGTAGCTATGTGAAGGGAAACAGGTGTCTAAGGGAAAGAGGCTCTGTGAGTGTGTATGGGGGAGTGACTTTGTTCCTTTACTAAGTAATAGGCTGCCATGGGTAGAGTTTAATGATCAGTAAAATAGTGTTCATAGTCCTAGGTGTTCTGCAGAACCTCTTGACTCTCAGAACCCAAGCCTGTGCTGTGCCAAGGGTCGGCTGCCTTGGGGGTGGATCACTGATGAAGCCAAGCAGCTTGCTATAATATTATGCAAAGAACCAGGAAGAAACCAACCCTGAGTTTAGCGGGACACCAAGGTGGTGATGGGAGCCCAGAGTCCACTGCTTGCATCCAAGACCAAGACACAGTGTGATAGGCAGAAATGATGTCATATTCTACTCTTACTCAAGATCCCAGGAGGTTGGGTGCCAGGAGCGACTCAAAGGCACGAGGCTATTCTTTGGATAATGGCAAAATATAATTTCCAAGAAGAGTCAGTTGCCACCCAAGGGCAGAAAAAGCTGGACAGGGAGCATGTTGGGAAGCAGGTGGCTTACCTCCCCCGTAGGTCTGGCACAGGTAGGGGAACCTCCATATGTTACCCAGTCCCACGGCAAAGCCGATGCAGCTCAGGAGGTACTGAAGTTTGTTGTCCCACTTGGGCCTCTCATCCTCCATGTCCACAAGTGGGTCCATCCCCGAGGCCTGTGCCATGCCGAGCGGTCACCCTGGGTATGGCTGAAAGGTGTGATTGTAGGATGGGCACCTTGCAGCACACTAGTCCGGCGAGCCTTCTGGAATCTGCTGGACTGAGGAAGCCAGAGCAGTCAGCCCCTCCTTACAATGTTTCTCCATCTATTTAAAGAAGCCCAGTTAATTGCTAACTGGAATTGAGTTCCTGCCTTCTGCAGAACCCATCTTTATACCTGAATCTACCAGCCTACCTGAGGTTTTCTTTATCATGTATTTGGTGAGTAGCACAACCTGCCAGCACCATACTCAATACAGACCGGGTGCTCCATAGGACCTGCAGGACTCCCAGAATGGCATGTCCAGTTGGCCATTAAACCTATTTATTTTGTAACTAAGCCTGTAGTGTAAGTAATACATGCTCGCTTTCCATAAAAGACAGCAGAGCAGACCCCAAAGTGTTCTCTTCCTCTAGGGTGACACCTTGAAGCTTATGGCAGTAAGTGAACAGAAGTGTTGTGTTGGGAGCTATGAACCTCCAGACCCCGAATTTCTTGTAAACAACTTGTTTTCCCCTGATCTGAGTGCCTACAGCTGCTTTGAGCATGAGACCCTCAGGAGTTCCTGATGGCAGGAGAATGGTTTCTGGTGCATTTGGCTGGGGCGTGGCTATCCCTACATAAGCTGCCCCTGGACACAATAAAGGGGGCATTCTTGGGGCATTCTAGCATCAAGGATGACCATGTCTCTGTCTGTGAGTCTTTGTGTGTTTCAGTCTCCAGCCTTTTGCCTGTTTCACGAACCGTATGGTGGTGCATAGAGCGCAGACGGTGTGGTGCATCACAGTGTTGTGGTCAAAAACAATGTTCCAAGAGACCACCTGCTGCTCTATGATGCTCAGAGGCCCCCCAGCAGCCCAAACTGCCCATAGTCTTTTCTTATGAAGGTTCTGTGAGTGGACTTGGAGCTCACAGCCTACACCTGCTGCCTTTCCCAAGTACAGGCCTGAGTTCTTTGGATTCTCTTCCTGAGCAGTACATACTGATCACAATGCCCACCACTGTCCAAACTACACATCCACTGCTCCAGCCCTATTGGGCTGTCCTGGGGCAGCTGCTACGAGGAGCTGACCTTGGCCTTGAGTGGGCATTGGGCATGGTCTTTATTTCCCTGGGATATGAAATCAGAAGAGTCCTACCAGGTGTTGAGCCTTATTTCTGGTGTCTGTGGATTTGTGGCTAGTTCTAAACCTCCATGTTTTGAGTTTGTTGAGAAAAACCCCGCCTGGACCCCCAGGCTGCACCTGCTGCAGGCCCGTGACACAGCCCAGAAGGCCCTGGCTGAGCATAGTCCACAGCTCTCTATGAACAAGAGTTTTGAGGGGTGAACACAGGACACTTCTTCTTCATGTGCTGGGGCTTGAAGGACTTCTTCCCACCTCCGTCCACCTCCACCCTCTGCAGCAGTGGCCCCAATGTTTTCTTGGCAGAACAGAGTGATGCTACCATACATGTTTGTGACGCTCCCCAGATTCTCTGAGACTCCCCCTCATGACACTCTCTCCTGAGGATGGGCTAAAGGCATCATCGACTCTTGGGACTTGCAATCTTCATCCTCCTGGACACGATTTTGACGTCTATGCATCCACAATTCCAAATATGTAGGCTGCAGAAGTTGAGGCTCTAGGAGCTGCATTCCTAAGAGATCCTATTTTGAGCATGATGATAAAGGGAGTAAAAGCTTGAGAAGAGACAAGAAATAGAGGGAAGTGGAGGGTACAGAGGAGGGTCTCAAGTAGGGGATGCACCCCCTTGATGTCACCCCCACGCTGTGCTTCTGTGGTTCTCTCTCCCCCCTGCTTTCCCTGTCTTGCAACTTCTGTTTCCAGCTGACCTCATTCCCATGCAGCTCCATGTCCCAAGTCCAAAGACCTTCTGGTCACCTTCCAGTAAGCAATAGAGTGTGTAAGACTACACTGTAGCCTTTGTCTGTCCCTCTGGGCTGTAGGAACGTCTTCAGAGAAATCCCTCAATCCAGAGCTGCCCGAGAGGTAGGTGCCTGCCATGGGCCCTGCTCATCCCTCTATGCCTGAGTGACTTCTTTGCCCGAATAATGACTCTCGATCCAAGAACATAAAGTAGAAGTGCTTTATTGAGAAAGATGTAATGTAGACCCATTGACCAACCAACCAGGATTTCTGTCACACTTTCAAAGGCATGAGGCCCAAACACAAGGCATGGACCAGAGATGGCAGAAAATTTGGTTGGCTTCCAGCCGGGACACATGGGGCCACATCGGAATCCCCAGCATGCACACCACAGGATGTGTATTGATGAGCACCAGTCAGTATTTTTCCAGCTGCGGCTTCAGAGGTCCAGAGGTGGACCCACTGAAACGACTAGCCTGGGATCTTTCATATTCCCCCCTTCCCCCAGGACCAACCACCTTCCTCTGCCTCTGTATGGTTCTTTAAGTCATGGCACCCAGGTGACCAGTGTGTATATAAGGGTGCCTTGGAAGAGGATTCCATGTTTCATATGGGTGACATGGGACTGGTGTCACCAAGTAGGACGAACATGATATCAGGGCCCACCATAGTTTCTCACCCTTGTTTGTGAGAATTCTCAAAAAGTCCAGTTCTATGTGAATTTGGACTTTTCTGTAGAAAGAGGAGGGCAGTAGCTTGTTGTAATAAACACTACAAGTCCCAAGTACCTGTGACTTGGAGTAGATGTGAACCCAGAAACAACCAACCTATTGGGGAAGGGGCAGGCATAGCCCTCTGTGACTTCACTGACTGCCACAAGACTGGGAATTTCTGGGCTTCACAGTCACTGGGGTGCCCAGGACTCTTGGAGTCCTCAACACAGTGGCCACAGCTGAGTTACCCTGTAACCCTCCTCCTCCAACATTTGGCTAAAGATTTACGGGCTCGTGCCCTCTTCAGAAGTGCACAGTGTGGCTCCTGCTTCAGCAGAGAAGGGAAAGTCAGCTTGGCTGCTCAGCAGCCCATTCAGCAACCAATGATTAAGCAGGCATCTAGGAAGCAAGGGTGTGCCAGGCCTGACCGAGACAAAGCTTCTGAACCTTGCAGCCACCAGTTCCTGTACTTCTCCTTAAGGAGCAGAAGGGCCCAGACTTCTAATTCAATGAACTTGGTCCAGCACTCACAGCAAGGGGCAGGAAATCAGCTGGGATTCAACAAGGACCACATGCCCAGGAGCCAAGCCAGCTTCATAGCCTCATCTCCTGCCCTCTACAGAGGGAAGGAGACCAGCCCAGGGCCTCCATATCTTCACTTTTGACCCTCTGCCAGGAATCTGCAGTGTAAGGTGGGTCCTGGGCTATGTGTTTTCCAGGCTGGAGTTCAAGCCCTACAATGAGGGCAAGAGGAGGACAACCAAGCCAGAGCACTTCCATCATGAGCATGTAAAAACATTTTTACATGTGTACCATGTGTGCAAAGATAGCATAGGCGTGTGCATATGCCTGTATGCAATGCACAAACATAAGTGTACGTGTACATGCATGTGCATATGGAGCACGCAAATTTCACACATGAAGATATGCACATAAATATATGTACATAGGTTTATGCACGTGTACAGATGTATATACATATCTATAGATGTGCACGTGTGAACATATGTATCACATGTTGACACATGGGCATATATACATGCAGATAACACTCATGTGGACATACACATGTATACACAAATATATGGGGACTTCCTAGTATATATGCACATATGCACAACATGCACACACAAACTCACATTTATATATATACATATTTATGCGCACGTATACCATATATGCACATACACCTCTATACATATAGTGTGTGCAACTGCTATATACACATAAATATGCCTATTATTATGTGCACCACATGTTTTGTAGCATTTGTATACACTTCTGTATGATGTATGGATACATTCACACACATTACTGCCCACTTCCCCCAAGGGTCCTGTCTCTTGTTCTCCTCCGTGTATCATCTTCTGCCTTATATAGGCTAGACCCACTCAGTTCTTCAGGTCACCATTCACAGAGGCTGTGGACATTGTATTGACCAGCCCGAGGTGGTCCCCAGACTTCTGGCAACGGTTTCTGAGGAGCTTGTAGATGGCGAAGCCAGGGATGGCGAGGCAGGGTATCCCGGCCACAATGACCACCACCGCATACACCCAGTTGGGATATGCGATCCTCTGCATTTTGGGGAATTCCTCCTGGGGAGAGATTCACAGATAACAGATGGAGAAAAGAGTCTACAGAGCCTATGATCTCACCTTCTGTTTCCTGAAATGGAGCCCTTCTACCGCCCTCGTGCCCCACTGCTTGCCTCCTCCCCCTCAGCTCTCCTCCCTCTCCACACAGCCGCTGCCTGGGTACTTACATAGTCAGGGTCCCAGATGCTATACGTGAGTTGTTTGTTAACCTCAATAACAAAAAAGAAGAGGAAAATGACCAGCATGATCAGTGGACTGACCACTCTCCATGTAATTTGCCAGAAGATGTTGGGCTTGTGGCCAATCATGAATTCGATGTCCTTGTTGAACCTGCAGTAGAGGGCAGAGGGCAGGATCACTGGAAGCTCATGAAGGAAGATGACTGATCAGTTTTATATATGTGGACAATGGTTGTCATCTTGGGATACTGTAGTTGGGCAAAGATGTGCCTGCACTCAGAGGGGTCCTAGGCTGTCACTGTCAGCAGCTGCCACCAAGCTTCTTAGCGTTCCCACAGCACTGGGAGAGGAGTTTATCATCAGAGGGCTCATACTCTCACCCACTTCCTGTTATATGACAATGAAGACAGTGGACCCTCAGACTCCCCTCCTAATGCACACAAGACTTGGCAGCTCTTGTGTGAGCAGCAACACCCTGAGTTCGGTGACACCCACAATTTCTTGACCTGCTCGAAGCCTGCTCTGTGGCAGCATCCCTTCAGTAGGCAGGGATTTCTGATCAGAATGAGACATACAGAACAAGCTGACGAGTTATCCGGTGCCCCAGTAGACACTAGGACTTAGGTATAGGCTCAGTGAGGACCTCTGAGAAACCGGGCCATTTGAGCCCATCACTAGTCTGGTCTTTCTTTTTGGGCCATCACCTTCCCCATGCTACTCACAGTTGTGTGGAATTCAGACCACTGTGCATGTCAGTTCATACGTTTCTTGTTGATGCTTCCAAACATCACAAAAGTCACGTGGCTGGCCCTGTGCTCCTCAGCCTCCACATTGCTCCCTCAGCCTGCTAGAGTCTGGTCTCCTCTCATGCTGATCTAACCTTGTCCATGTCCCCAGTGGACTTCACTTTACAGTGACTTCAGATAGGTTTCCCAGAACAGCACTCCCAGCAAACGTCATTGTCACGGATACTCACACCAAACCACAGTGGTCGCAATACAGCTTCTTCTCAAGATGTAGCTTCCTGGATCCCTACCCAGCAATGATAACGATGCTCCGAGATGTTGGGTCAAGCTGTCAGTTGGAAGTGGCCCTAACGGTGGTCTTCCCTGCTTCTTTGTGCATAAGTCTTAGATAGCTTCTGAGTCCCCCCATCGTCTATGCGCAATTCCAGAAGTACCCCTGATGTAGACTCCAAGTAGATGAAAAGCACTGAGCTTCATCTTGCCTCAGGACACGTGAGGTCCATGTACTACAGAACCTGAGTCCCCTCCCTTTCCTTAGTTCCCACCTTTTCCCCTTCCTCACTTCTTCCCACCTTCTCTCCTTCCTTACTCCCCACCTTCTCCCGATCTTTATTCTGGCCCCAGTACTGCTTTTGGAGGTCCAGACTGGAAGTCATATTTAGAGTTAGATTATATATATTTTTTTAAGTTGTGTGGTCAGACGTGTCTGAGTTTTTCTTTTGCATTCTCTTTCTCTGGCACCCAAAGTCACTACATGTCAGTTTCTAGTACACCTGATTTTGGATAGGTAGCAGGGGCTATTGGGAGTTAGAGGTACTATTTAGGTCACATCTAATAAGAAAGGAGGTACCACTTCAGCAAAGCCAACCATTCACCCTGTGGTCTCTCTCTACCTCTTGGACCAAGTGCCAGGATTAAGCCAATGCTAGCCCACTCCGAAGAAGAAACTCTGCACTCATTTGCACAATAGTGAAGGCTTTGTGCCGTGGCGCGCCTACCTCCCTGATCCCTACCTGTCTGGCCCAGCTTAGCCCGGATTCTGTGACTCCGCTTTTCTGCTAAAGATGGTTTGTTGGCACAAAGCCACCCCTCATACCTGTCCACTCCGTACACGTAGACGACGGCGAACATCTCACAAAAGGCGATGATGAGCAGAGGGATGGAGCCAGCGTAGTTGTCCAGAAGAGAGAGCCAGTACTGGCCCGAATTCAGCGTGAAAATGAAGGCGATGAGATACGTCCCCAAGCAGATGAGGCCTGTGGCCAGACAGGAAGCAGAGCCGTGGCTACAAGGTTACACGCACCACTGCCGTGCGGGGCATAAGCGGGTCTCCCTTAGACAGTAGGTGTCATACATACCTGTCATCAGTTCCTTGGGCCACTTCTTAGGGACGAGATTGAGGTCCTGAAGGGGCACAACCACCCCCTCCATGTTCCCAAACATGGAGGAGAGGCCCAGGCAGAAGAGCATGATAAAGAACAGCACTGACCACAGCGGCGACACTGGCATCTTCGTGATGGCTTCAGTGAAGACAATGAAGGCCAGGCCTGTGCCCTCCACACCCTGCAGTGATCCACAAGGTCACCTGAGCTCTCTGCCCCTCTCCCTCCTCTTGTATCAGCTACTGCTGCTTCCCTTGATTGCCTCCCAGAAATTGAAAGTATGCCCCTATTGTTGAAAACACCATGCACTTTGGACACAGACTCAGAGGAGTCCAGCTGGATATGACCTGAAAATCTCCTCCGCAAGGACCAACTTTCGTAGCGCCTAAAGGTACTGAGCAAGCTGCCAAGGGAGGAAAGCAAACAATCGTCCTCCTCGGCTTGTGAGCCACAGCAATGATCCCGAAAGGTCCAACAGTAGCATTCATCTCTTGTCATTAATCAACCACTGTTTCACTGGACTGAAGGCCCATTCAAAAGGAGGAAAATCATGGCTGGCACTGGACCAAGCCAACTCCCCCAGACTAGTGAAGGCGTGAATCTAAAAGAAGAACCTTTTCTACTTCACTAACCCTAACTTCCTAAGTACATGCTAAATAATTATCCTTATATCCACAGGTGAGTGTGGTCCTCACCCTTCATCAAAGAAACTTCTCTTTGCATCAGACAGAGACCACTACAAAAAACAACAATGGATCAAAATGCAGAAAACAACTGATCTTGGCGTGCCCATTCCCAGTGGATGCATTTACAACACAACTCTGTACCCAAGGTTCAGGGAACATCATGAGAGAAGGGGCAGAAAGATGTAAGAGCCCTGATGTGGGAGTGATTTCTTAATAATAAAGAAACTGCCTCGGCCCTCATAGGACAGAAAATTAGGTAGGCGGAGTAGACAGAAGAGAATTCTGGGAAAAAGAAGCTGAGTGAGGGAGTCGCCATGATGCTCCCACTCCAGACAGACGCAGGTTAAGATCCTCTCTGGTAAGCCAGCTCATGGGCTACACAGAATATTAGAAATGGGTTAGAACAATATGTAAGAGCTAGCCAATAAGAAACTGAACCTAGCCGGACCAGGCAGTGTTTGAAAGAATACAGTTTCTGTGTAATTATTTCTGGGCATAAGCTAGCCATGTGGGCGGCCGGGTGCCGGGGACGCAGCCCTGCCGCCGCTCCTATTTCAACAGATGGCGCCCAACGTGGGGCTAAATCCACTTAAAAACCTGAGAGGGCTTAAAAAGGAGAGAGAGAGAATTTAAGACAGCTTTTTGCTGTTTCTGGGTTGCGTGCCGCAAAGAAATTGTCCTGACTCGGCAGCAGGAAAAAACTGGCTGTTTTAAAATGCCGGCTTTCTGGGCTGTGCCGCCATTGTGATCTCTGTCTGGCTCCGGCGGGAGACAGAGCTTATGAATGGAGCATTTGGGTTAAAGTGCTACGATTTGTTTGATGGCAACTAGACTGCTGTGTGCCTAAAAGGGGGACATTGTGTGCTGCAGCTCAGAGGCACAAGCAGCTCCGCCATGCTAATGGTGCAATGTGCAAGGATCAGAGGCACGATCGGCTCCGCCATGTTGGACTGGGCGGGGCCAGCATACAGTACCTGTTTTTGACCTAGGAATGTCACAGCTTAGATTCTTAAGCTCTTAGTGATTTAAAGGCGCAAAACAAAGTACTCCTGGATAGTAAAAAAGTTACAGATTCACAATAAAACAGATTCAGACACTGTTGGATAAATGTACGTAGGCTTGGGAAAGAGAAAAAAAAGAATATAAAAAATAAAGTTAATGTCTTAAAAAGAAAAAGGGTAAAGTCTTTAAAGAGACAGAGTACAGAAGTACAGATAGTTATTATAGATTAAGAGAAATAAAGAAAAATAAGCCACGTAAAAATGAAAAATTCACAGAGAGTCTGGATTATGTACATTGTGTTTTCTTTAAAGTTTTTGACTGTGAAGGAGCTAAGTACAGAGAGACATTTCATTATATGGGCTGCCAAGCTAAACCAAAATGGATTTCATGAGGGTATTACGATTTCAAAATTTGGGTCTAAGGATATGATGCTTTGGCGAGGGTCTTCTTTTGTTTTTGCAGAGGATGAGACCCTGTGGATTGCATCTATTCCGATTTGGTATGATAGACCACGCCCTCCTGAAAGTTGCTGTGAATACCCTCAAAAAATTGCTTCGCTCAATTGCCAACTGAGATGAAACTAGCATACAGGTTATATCATGAACAACCTAATTAATGACGCCCCTATTCAGCAGGAAGCAGTTTGGAGAGAAAAAACTACGCCCATGTTCCCAAATATTGTTTATAAATGTTCTTTTACATTTAAAGGGGGATATGATATAGATATGAATAATTTGCATTGGTATGGATTTTAAGGTCAATTTTGTTATATGTATATGATTTTTGATCTTGATTAAGGTATTGTGATTGTGTAGTTCATTTAAAAATGTAATGTATAATTAGGAAATATAGGTTGTTAATGGATAATCATTGCTAATAGTTAAGCTTGTAGTCATGTTAGTTAGATTTTCTAGATATATAGAGATATATTTCAGTTAGATAGGCATTCTTCATATCTTTCAAAGGCTACAGAATATGGCATTTAAATGTTTTAATAACTTAGGGCTTTTCATGACAAGGAGACACGTCTGCTTCTGGCAGCACCAATCTACTTCAAGAGGAAGATGGGCATCGAAGAGGATCCTTATGGAGTTTGATAGCCATTTGGGCAAGAAACTGTTCTTGCCTGGACTGTTGCATAAACTGGACACAGAGAACCCGCAGAGAGAGGACTGCTGAACTTGCCTAAAGGTGAGATGGTCTTTCCGGGTTCCTGATTCATGAAAGAGTCTGCGAGACATTCTGCAGGACACAGCAGAAAATGACTGAACTGTCTTTGAAATTTCCTGCTTCATGGAAATGTCTCTGGATACCATGGGCCTGAAGGCCGAAGATGGATGCCCCATTGGTACAGAGGAACTTTGGGTGACTGTCCAGGCAGCGAGATGTCTCTGTCATTTCTAGAGTTTTCTTATTTCTTGTTTGATAGGTAATATTATATCCTTCTGGAGTCTTTGATGGAGTTGAAGAATGGTTAGTTATAATTTTCCTTAGTTATGATAAGATATAAAATAGATATAAATATTGTAACTGTAATTCTTACTTGATAACTGTTTTGTTATATGTAATTTTGCTATGTTAAAGTTAAAGCCTTTCTTTTTTGTTTAAACAGAAAAAGGGGAATTGATGTGGGAGTGATTTCTTAATAATAAAGAAACTGCCTCGGCCCTCATAGGACAGAAAATTAGGTAGGCGGAGTAGACAGAAGAGAATTCTGGGAAAAAGAAGCTGAGTGAGGGAGTCGCCATGATGCTCCCACTCCAGACAGACGCAGGTTAAGATCCTCTCTGGTAAGCCAGCTCATGGGCTACACAGAATATTAGAAATGGGTTAGAACAATATGTAAGAGCTAGCCAATAAGAAACTGAACCTAGCCGGACCAGGCAGTGTTTGAAAGAATACAGTTTCTGTGTAATTATTTCTGGGCATAAGCTAGCCATGTGGGCGGCCGGGTGCCGGGGACGCAGCCCTGCCGCCGCTCCTATTTCAACAGAGCCCAAAGACCAGGAAAACAGCTGTGGTATTTCCTTTTATGACAAGGAAGCAACACCCATAATATCTGCCTAAACAAGTCCCGAACAAGAGTATCACCAGTAGGCATGTTAACGAGGTAGGGAGAAATCTAAATCTCACTTGAGAGGAGAGGGAAGGGAGGCAGGCATCCCCTAAACAGGAAATGACAGTCAACTAAGGGATGCTGAGAGCAAGAGACTTAGAAGCCTCCTAGTTGGTTATACCATACCAAGTGATCATCCCTGCAATAATATACATACAAGCAACAGTAAATGAACTCAACAGGTTGTATTAATATTTATATACATTAATATATACATGTATGTGTGTTATATACCTGTTACATGTATATATAGATTATACGCACACATATAATACAGATGTATATTATATATAATAATCAAAGAAAAAGAAGTCATGAATCTGAGGAGTGAGGAGAAGCATGGGATGGTTTGAAGGAAGAAGCAGGGGGTGTTTTATATATTTGTTTTGAGAGGCTGGAGGAGTCAAGTCCCAGCAGTGCTAGGAGGGTCATGATTATTGAACAGTGGCTCTTTCCTCCGGCCTGCTTTTTAACTTCCGCCACTTCTAAGGGTAAGATGCTTACTGTGCAAAGGCCCTATGTATGACTCACAAAGACCAAAAGAGGATCCCTCCCCTTGCCCCCACATGAGGCTTTTACCTCAGAAAGCAAGGCGTTCATGTCACAGGTCTGGAATTTCAGCTGTGCATAGACCTCAGGATTGGTGGCATTGTACCACTGCTGAAGAGCCTCAAAGTTCTCTGCAGTCACCTGGCCCTCGGGCAGGTCGAACCCGTTGATGAGAGTCAGGATGTTTCTGGTAGTGACGAAAAGGGCTGCTTGTATATGTTCTAGGTGGGAGCTTCCCAAAAGCCGAACCGGCAAGGGTTGGGCAAAGAGAACTGGGGTCTATGTGCATGCCCTCTGGATGCTGCCCGAAGTGCTAGGGTGGCAACTCACGTGTTGACACAGTTGTCAAAGCGCTCAGTGGCTCTGAAGCCGATGATGGAATAGACCACGGTGGCTGCATACACGGATGTGAAGCCGTTGATGATGGACACGATCACAGAGTCCATCTCACAATTATTGCTGAGGACAAGAGTGGTGTCATCACAGGACAACATGTCTGAATCACAGATGAGGACATCCCCTGGCTGGGTGTCAGCATGTGGCACAGCAGAGCAAGTGTGATCAGGTCTAAGACGGGGTTCCTGAGCTCTCACCAGCAAACGGAAGGCTGATGTGATATAGGGAAACCCAGGTCCTATCATCTGGGCACATGTGGGCGCTGAGGACTCAAGGTGACCAGAGGGCTGTGCTGTATCCTGACCCTGAGCCAGGCTGCTGGCTTCTTTACTGTGTTCCAATCTTCCTGCCCACACTGGCCATGGTTATGCAGACCCTCTGAAAGCCCAAGATACCAAGAGTTGTAGATTCCTAGAATCAAATCCCACCTTGGGCCTGAGGTAAGCAGTCAGCTTCACAGAAAGGGACAGGCCCTGACCTCTCACTACCAGGTACAGAGGTCCACAGGGGCTAAAGAAGGAGACCAAGACAGGTTCTCTACTGCTTGAAACTCTCTCCCAACCCAGGCCTCCCTAAAGATGGGGTTTTATTTATTTAAACCATTTGGTTTTGTTTATTAGAGCAATTATGTATTAGTATTTATAAAAGCAATTCAGTCTATAGCCCAATAGCTGAGAGAACCCAGGGCTGGGTGAGCTACCTGCCTGGAGTCAAAAGGATGAAAAGAGATCCTAGAATTTTCCAGATGAGACTTGACCATTCTGGCTGGTATTTGGAGCAGGGTAGAGCCACCCTGGCCATCTGGCCTTGCAGTATCTGTGCATCACAGCAGGGTGGATGCTCACCCCCAGAACAGGGTAGAATGTTCTAGGGTCAGGTCCCAGATGTATTTCTAACCATCTGAGAGTCCCGGGTTTATGCCCTGAGGCAGCACAGGGCTGTGTGTTCCTGACTTCAGGGGCATGGAAGATGTGGCCACAGATCAGGGGCTGACCCAAGGCTTTGGCCTTTACACTCAGCCCTATTAGACCTCCCACTGACTTCCTGATTGGGTCCTCTAGAGTACCATCTGGAGACACTCAGTACACCCTGAACATACCCTGATGTTCCAACCCCAACCCCCCAGTACAACTGTCATTATGGTGTTCTATGCTATGTTAACAACAGAATACACAAGCCATCAGAAAAGTGCATGTCAAACTACAACACAGCACCACCTCCCACCCGAAAGGAAGACTACCCCCCAAACACAGATGACCACAAAGTTGAAAAGAAAGGGAAACTGAGGCCACCCTGCACAGCTGAAGGAAACTTGTAGTGGTGCCATGCTTCGGAGAGCAGCCTGGTGAGTCCTTAGCTGACCCATCACAGGGTGGTATAAAGGCAGGTCTCCCCCCAGGTATACACCAGAACGCAGCAACGGTGCATCCGGCAAAGCACCCTTCACAACTACAAGAGTGGAAGCAGCCAATCCACAGAGACGGCTGACCCGAGCTCGTGGGAGCTCACGGACTCTGGACTGCTGTAAGGCCATTGGACTCATGTGGATCAACTCACGCAGCCTAATGTGGATGAACTGAACAGAATACAAGCTGAATAAAAATGTTATCAAAGCAATTCACCCACAGCTCTACTTGGGCTCCATCTGCAAGTGACAATTCCAGGGTTGCCTTCGAGGACATTCTACATGGCCCCAGAGGAGGCTTTCTGAAGTCTGGGACCCATCAGTCAGTAACTAAAAGGCCATGGTCTAGATAGAACGCCTATCCATCTATCCAGCTCCAGCACATTCTCTGAAAGGCCTGCCTTCCCAGATCACAGAGACCATGGACCATGCCCTCCAAGAACAGACAACCCACAGTGTTGTAACTATTGCAGACCACATCCAGAACCTACCCTGCCTCTGTCTCTGTCTGCTGCCTGAGTCTCGCCACGGCCTTGCCTACCCTGAGCCTAGGAAGTTCTGTTTGATCTACCAGCAGCCTCCTCCCACTTCCTGCCCAGCCCTAGCAGTTCTCTCTTGGGCTTATCACCTCAAACAATCTGATTCCACTGCTATCCCTTACCCATCACTGGTCAAGCCTGGCTGGTGCTCCCTGAGCCTTTGTGGAAGACAATAAATGCCACCTATATCCTCCCTGAATGTTAAAGGGGCCTGAGGAGGGGGCTCTTCATAGCTTAGGGTTCCAGAAGGTGTCAGGAAGGGATGCATGTCTGAAGTTGACTAGGTCACAACCTTCAGGATCTGACCTGGGTTCAGGGTGGGCTTTGTGGGTACCAACATACCTGGGACCTGGAGTGAGTTCTGAGGCAGGCTGGGAATAATGTGGGCATCAAGTTTGGAGTGGAGAAGGGAGCATACTAGACCCAGCAGCAAAGATCATCCAGGGACCCAGCAAAGGGAGATCCTCTCAAAGCCTGTACCTGCTTTTCCCGTCAGCCCTGTTCTGTGTTTGGACAGGACTGGTCAGAGGGCAGCTGCTGTGTCACACTGGCCAGCACTGGTGCCGGTGCTGTGCTTTAGAAAGCACCTTCCTTCTCCTTCTTAACCTCACAGCAGAACTCCTCATGGTCTGACAGGGAAGCTGAGACTCCAGAACCAAGGTGCTCCTGGGGGCCCCCCAGCCCCTATCCCCAAGGGCCCTCCCTCCAACTCCATACTCACTGCACAGAGTTGTAGCTGGAGAAGGAGATGAGGCCGCCAAAGGCCAGTGAGAAGGAGTAGAAGACCTGAGAACCGGCATCCAGCCACGTGTTGGGGTTGGTCAGTTCCGTAATCTGTCATACAGGGACTCAGCTGTGAGTGCAGGGACCGGGACTCCCCCTCCACTGAGGAAGAAGTTAGCTTCTTCCACAGCGATGGATACCATTTACACAGAGGAAAGAAGTCAAGCCACCCAACAGTCCCTATCCAGGACACGTATGTTAAAGGCCCATGAATAGGTTGAACATTTTCCAGACCCTTCTTAACTAGGGCCTGGCCTGGGCGTCAGACAGTTAGCTGCCACCATATAGAAAAAAGCTGATCTTAAAGCCAAGAGAACCCAGCATGGACTTCTCCCATGGGATCTGAAGTCTGGGGTTAGTCAGCTGGCAGATGACAGAGACTCACATTGGGTGTGAAGAGGAAGACGATACCGTTGGTGGCACCCTTCAGAGTCAAGCCACGGATGAGAAAGATGGTTAGCACCACATAGGGCAGAGTGGAGGTGATGTACACAGCCTACGAGAGATAGTAGTGGGGACAGCATGAGGGATAGGTCAGGCAAGGAAAAGGGACTGGTTCAGGAAGCCATGTTCTTCCCTCTGCCAAGGTCACCCCAACTCAGTGCAGGGGAAACTGGGGCTCACTCTTCCCTTTTCCAGTTTCTCTTACTGAGAAATTTCTCTGATTCAATTGGAGAAAGATCTCGGATTAATCTTATACAAAGCTTTACAGTGTGTGCTCGAAAGGCATCTTAGACACCACCGAATCCAGCTAAGCCCAGGGACAGGGGACCCTCAAGATTGGTGTCAAGAGGCTGTATGGTCAGTGGCACACCGTACCTTCCCAGTGGTCTCGATGCCGCGGATAACACACACATACAGCACACTCCAGGCACACGTCAGGCAGAGCAGGATCCACCACTGAATGGAGCCTGAATCATCTATAGATGTGGAGATGTTGAGAGTCTCCCGGTACCAGAAGTAGTCCACGGAAGAGCTCTTGGCACACTCTTCCACGTAGCCTGCAGAAGCAGAGGAGCACACACATCAAGCTGTGGGTCAAGAGTAGGGACAAGCCAGGAATAAGCCAGGGAAAATGGCAACACGAAACATAGCCAGGGTCTGAGGCATTCACAAGAGGAATACACTTGTGCATGTGCATATAGCTGCACATATACATATGAGCACTCATAAACACACTCACGCCCACACATCTGTATCCACACACCACACACTCCCATTCGTGTGCTTGTACACACCCCTTTGTACATAGGTTCAGGTCTAAGTGAAGTCTGCTAAGGTACAATGTTGGGCTCTGGTGTGAGCCCAGGCCTCTGAGCCCCAGCTCCTCCCTGGAAGAAGGCCCCTACCATCACTAAAACAGCAGATGGTCTTTGGGACTCTGTGGCCATTTGTGATCACTACCATCTAACTCCATGTTATCTCGTGTTACCATAAGCATCTCATCCTCAAAAAACCAACTGGGGTTCTCCTGGGGAGGACTTATCCTTTGACAGACAGGAACCCATCCTGAGGGTTCATGGGGAGGACTTATCCTTTGACAGACAGGAACCCATCCTGAGGGTTCATGTGAAGTCCTCAGAGCTACCCTATAGTAGTCAGGACAGTAGTTACGAATTAGGCTGCTCACGTCCCTCTACAGCTATATGATCTCTGAGCCAATGTGCCCCATAGGTCATGGGCAAAGACCCGTGCCTCTCTCTGTCCACAGGAGAAGGGGCCTGGGACGATAAGACTGGCAAAGGACACTTGAGGCAGAATGGCCTCTTTGTACAGAGACTCAGGGAGCATGGAGGAGGGCAACAGGAAATATCCTACCAAGGACCTGTACCTCTAGTCTCACTACGCCTGATTAGTGACTTGGAGCCATCAGCACACTTCCCATGACTCCTCTCCTGATGGTCTCAGTCATGTGACCAGTGTGACATAGGAAGTCATCATGTTTAAGGCTTCCTTCTTGGACTGTGAATTTCAGTTTTGTTTTGTTGTGAGGGGGGTCTCATATTGAAGCCTGTACTAGCCTGGAGCTCACAGCGTGTGCCATGCTGGCCTCACACTGCCCCAATTCTTTCACCTCAGCCTCTAAAATGTTGAGGTAATAGGTATGCCTGTGGATCTGTGTGTGTGTGTGTTCTTGTGTGTGCAGGTTCATGAGTAAAGGCCAGATATCATTTTTTGAGTATCATCCCTCAAGACCTATCCATCTTCTTTTATGAAACAGGGTTTCCCACCGGGACCTGGGCTCACTAATTAGACTAGGCTGGATGACCAGCAAGGCCTTAGGATCCTCCTACCTCTGCTTCCTAGCTTACAGGTATCACAGATGACACATGCCTGACTCTTTATGTCAATGCTTGGGATTGAACTCGGGTCCTCATGCTTTTGTGGTAAACACTTTAAATTGACTATACTATCTCCCTGACGCCTACAACATGAATTTTTAAATGTTCTGTTGCCTTAAAGATGCTCTGGAGTTTGCTAACCCTGGTCTCTAAGTGTCCAGTCCTTGCAAAATGAGAGGACATCTGGTCACGAGGTAGGACTGTCTAAGAAGGGTGCCAGCAACCATTTCTTCCACTCTCCTGAAAGCTACAGTTTGTCAGATGGAACTGAGGCTGGGGGATGGCAACCCCACTCCACTGCCTAGGGCCAAGGGCTTACCTGTCTGGTTTCCGTTGAGTGGACACTCACTCCATGGCAGAGGGTCTTGAAAGGAGTTGAAGAAATACCACATGACCCAGGCGATGATCGTGTTATAGTACAGGCCCACCATGAAGGACACAAACATGGAGGCAATGCCTGTGGGGAGAGATGTCACTCTGGAGGGTGCACAAGTATCTCTAGCAGGTGAGTATGTTGATGCCGATCTCTACTGTCCCACCCCGGAAGGACAGTAGGACCCTGGGAGGGGCCTGCTCCACAGCCCGCAGAGCAGATACAGCCAGACCTAGAAGTGTGGTACCACCTGTATGATCACCTGATTCTCCCAGAGTGAGTTCAAGGTCCCAGCACTCTGCACCCCCACCTGCTCCACCTATGGCCCCAAAAGATGTGTCCCAGACAGTGGTCACAGAGCCCTTGCAAAGAGCCTTTTGACAGTTTTGGGGGAGGCGGATCCGCCTCAGCGAGGCCCACTTGACAAGTCCCAAGACAGAGTGGATAGATTCAGGAAAACCTCTGCCAGGAACCAGTGAGAAGGTCAAGCAGAGATTGTGGTGGACACTGGCTCCATATCTGGGATAACAGACTGACCAGTTAGTAGTTCGTGAACATGCTTTTTTGATTGTGAAACTAAAATATGCGTGAAAAGAAGGAGAAGGAAGAGCAAATGTGTAAGAGCCAGAGACTCAGGGGTGGGGTGACAAGGGCAGGAAGGGGCTTGATATCAGGGAGTGGCTATTGTGTGTGCGTTGGGTTGTCCAGAATTGGATTTCTGGGATAAACACATCTGAACTCTCTGTCCGTGGACCCTGCCCTTCTCTTGCCTGGCTGGAGAGCCACACTGCTTAGCTGCATTCTGACCTCTCAGTGAGCCATGTCCTTTTAGTGAGGCTGTCTCTAGGCCAGAGTTTGTAAATGAGTGACCACGTCTGGATGGGGGGCAGTACTGGGTGTCTTTGCTCAGAGTGTGGGAGTGGACAGAGCAGCTCCCCCTTCTGGCCGTGGAGGCTCTTGCTCTAGGAAGGAGTTAACTGTTCTCACCCAGCAGAGACGAGGGAGACCTCTGCTGGCCGACCATGAGTAACTCGGCCTAGATGCTGCACCCCACGTTCTCACGGATTCTGGTGAAGGATTCCTGAGGGTCTCTGGTAGAACGTGAGCCTGGAACCGATTGTGAAAGCTAAGGCCCTGTAAACCTCAGGCCAGCTGGCAGCACTGACACATACCTACACCCTTCAGAGCTGGGTGGATGGAGTTCCACACACCCACACTGCCCTTGCGTAGCCGCTGGCCGATAGCAAATTCCAGGTGCAGCAAGGGAATGCCCTCCAGTACCAGAAGGATGAGAAATGGGATCATGAAGGCTCCTGGATGGGAAGAAGCAGAATATGTCATTACAGGTGAGAACACCACCTGGGGACAGGCACTTAAAAGCTTTGTTCTACTGACTAGATACCACAAACACCCTGATGGCACTTGAAGAGAGCTGATACGCAGTAGTAAGCCGCGGCAAAGTTTACAGCTTAGAAGGTGTCTTAGGTGGACAGTCTTGCCACGTGTGGTAGCACCCCCTGCTGGTTTGAAGAATGCTGTCATTTAACAGAGCCCCTAACCTTGCCTTCATGCTCACTAACAATAACACAAAAACACACAGGCACCTACTGACCAAGGATGAGTTGGCCCCAGGCCTCTCACTGGCCAGAGCCTTGGGAACAGAAGGACAGAGTCACAGCTTCTGAGATTAGCTGCTCTGTGGACAGCGTGTCACTGCACAGTAAACTAATGCTAAATCTGCTGTCAGGCAGCAGCCTGAGAAGGGATCTTTACTGGTGATGGTGGCAGCTAGGGGAGGAAGCGAGCACCCCTCGGGCTGGAGCAGCTTTGATCACTGGTATGTATTCTTCAAAGTGTAATCAGTACAATAATGGTCTCAGATAACTGGCCACGTTGCCCTCATCTGTGCAAACCCTTTGTACTATAGACCTACTAACCCTAATATTAGGAAGTATGTCTCTCCTGTGTTTTAAGAATCTTCAGTGGTGTCCTGTGTATTAATTATGTTTCTAAAAAAACACATTAATGAAAAAGGTTTAAATGATGTATACCAAATAACATTGAGACTAGAGAGATGGCTCAAAGGAGGCTGAATACCTGCTCTTACAATAGGTTTCTTCAGGTTCTAGTATCCACACAGGGCGCACAACCATCTATAACTCCAGTTACAGGGAATCTGATCCCAGGTGTGCACATGATACACACACATACATGCAGGCAGAATGCTCACATACACACACACATACACACACACACACACAACAACTGAAAAAAAACTGAGCATGGTGGCACATGCCTTTAATCATAACCAGAGGATCTCTGTGAGTTCTAGGCTATCTTGGTCTGCCTAATGAGTTCCAGAACAGTCAGAGCTGTGTAGAGAGACCCTGCCTCCAAAAAGAAAGAAATAAGGTAAGAAAGGGGGAGGGAAGGAGGAGGGAGGGAGAGAAGGAAAGGGAGAGAGGGGATAAGGAAGGAGGGACGGAGGAAGGAAGGAAGGAAGGAAGGAAGGAAGGAAGGAAGGAAGGAAGGAAAAAAGGAAGGAAGAAGAAAGAAAGAAAGAAAGAAAGAAAGAAAGAAAGAAAGAAAGAAAGAAAGAGAACAACTACCATTATCAACATAGTTGAGAAGTCAACCTGTGGAAAAGAAAAATGTTTGCAAACTACAAGCCTGATGAGATATTTTAAATTTCTCAGGATGTTTAGAGGCAAAACTCAAACAAAATCCAGCTTAAAGATGATCACAGACCCCCAAGAGATGTTGACCCAGAAAAGAAACACAGATTCTAGTAACACTTGAGAAGGCGCTCACATCACTGAGCAGAAAATGTAGGTCTGAATTATGAAGTATTGCCTTATACCATGAAGATAGCAGCAAAAGCAGAAAATAAAATTGTAAGTTTATGCAGAGGGGAAAATATTAGACATAGGACCACCATGGGATCCAGCAATTCCATTTCTAGGTACCCAAGAGAACTGAAAGCAGAACCTCAGAGAGACACTTGACACCTATGTTCACAGCAGCATCATTCCGTGGCCGAGTGGGTAAACACACCATGACTTACCCATACTGAGGGAATTCATACACGGGGAGGAAGGAGGAGAATTTTGTTGAGTTAGGCAAAAACCGGTCACCATAAACCCAAATGGAATGTCATGCAGGTCCCTGGAGACAACATGTACGCAGAAGCCATAGAACGGAGGTTGCAGGGGTGGGAAGCAATGTGGGGTGGTGATAACAGTGACAGTTTCGATTGGAAAGGATGAGAGTTCCAGAGATAGATGGTGGTGATGCTGTACACTTAGACAGAAACACTTAAATCCATTAAATAGGGCCTTTAAAAATGGCCAAGAGGTGCATTTTAATAATCATGTTTTTCTCACGCGGGGAAAACAGAAAATACATAAAGTCCTCTCTAAACCTACAGTGACAATCTTCCCATCAAAATTCCCTCTCACCTGAGGGGACACTTTAGCTATCACGTTTGGCCTCAGATTTTGAGCTGTTAGGAATGAACCATTGAAATATGCTGTTGTGTGGGCATTTGGAAACAGTGGTAGGCCAGGGCTGGAGCAGAACGAGACAGAAGGTGACCTATCTCCGAAGATGCCTCATGACATCAGACAGACTAAAGGTTAAGTACTTGGGGACCATTAGAACAAGGACAGAGAAGTGCTGCCCTCTGGAAAGTTCTGCTTCCGTGAAGGCCAGGTTTTATCTCTACACCTATCTTGTAGGAAAGCCAGCAACAGACTGCAGGTGACAGGGAAGAGGTGGCAGGAGCTTTGGGGAAATCACAGTGCTTAGGAGAATTTTCATATGCATTTACTCCCAACATCATCACATTCTGTCTACTTAAGGAAGAGAATTGAAGCTGAGAATTGCCCCCCCCTTCTATTGGAGGTCTCAGTGAGCCTCTGTGAGAACAAAGCTCAAGCTGAAGCCATGACCCACGGACCCAGATTTGAGATCCACATAGACTCCCTTCACCACTTAAGAGCCTCTAGCTACTGACCTGAGATTCTGTCCTAGGACTCATAACAGTTCCCAGGGAATGGTCCAGAGAAAAAAAGCTGTGAACCCACCATGGTCCAATACATGTCATAGCCCTTCATGCCCAGGTGTCTCTGGCACAGGCCCCCTGGGTCTGTCACAGAAGAACACAAAGACAACCCAGCTCTCAGCACCACTCAGGATGCAGCCTCATCTCTGCCAGGCCAGGGCTCCATCATCTTATGTTAGAGACAGTAAGAGATGCAGAAATAGAAAGTCAAGGAAAGAGACAGAAAGGGGCAGAGAGAGACGAGGGAAGAAGATAGATGAGAAGGGACAGAAACAAAGAGACTAGAACAGAAAGGCAAGGAAAGTCTGAAAGAAACAAGAGGGATAGAGATATGAGATACAGAGAGAGACACAAGGAATCAGAGACAGAGATGAGAGACAAGGCGGGGCAGAGACAGGAGAAGCAGACACAGGAAGAGACAAATAGGGATAGAGGAAGATAGAGGGAGATGTTATCCTTTCTCTACAGGCCCTTGGGTTCCTGGGGTTGGCCAAGTAAGTAAACCAAGGATGGTGGGCCAGGGCTTATTTTCTCTGTGCCCCACACAGGGGAGCCAGTCATGTTGGGGTGGGTCAGATGCTAACAGTCTTGAGGTTCCTTGGGTGGAGCCCAGATGCTGTTTCCAGCTCAGAGCAGGGAGCTTGTCACAAGACCTGGGCTTCTGTGGAAGGTGACAGAATCCCAGTCCTGGATGGGATCTTCCTCTCTGAGCTACTGTACCACCTCTCCATGAGTATGAGGGCAGAGGAAGAGGGTATAGATATTGACCCTGGGGAAGCTGGGGCTCCAGGCTGGAGCACCAAGGATTAATGTCCAAAGGTCTCCAGAGATAAAGCCTTTTGTGCTGCCCGGAATCCTTGGCATTTGCTGTTTACACAGAGAGAAATCATAGCAAAGTGGGGCTGAAGGGAAATGAAATTGTTCAGCTTGAAGAAGACCCAGTTCTGTCTTTGAGTCGTGAGTGGGAGAATAGGAGTAAGGGAGAGGAAACGGGAAAGGAGTGGAGGAGGTCGGAGGGAGAAGGCGAGCGCTGCAGGTGGCGTCTACCCTATTTTCTTTATCCAGCACAGGTGTGTGCTGCACACAATTGCACGTGGTTGTGCACAAGGTCACCAGGACTAGACCAAGTGGTGGTGGGCTCGCTGGAGGAGGACGTACAGAAAAGTCTGGGAACAGAAAAGTCTGGGGGCCAACCTGGTCCTTGGAAGGAAGGCAGCAACTTTACCAGCACCATGCCAACACCCACGGCACCCAATGTGGACACAGAGCAAGAGTGGCCTAAGGCTTGTCGCCAGGGCCAGGATAAGGATGGACCACCATGTCCAGGGTACCCTGGGTAGATATCGTAACTTCCAGGTACAAAAACAAGTAGTGTTAAGACCCAGTTCACAAAGGCTAGCCCATTCTTCTGCATGTGACTGGCCCAATGAGCGCCTTGTGTTTGCCAAGTACAGCCCCCAAGTAGGTTCAGTGTTGAAGACAGCCTTAGTATCCCCCATCAGGTTCTTCTCATTTCACAGATGAGAACACCAGGACCAGGATGCAGAGACAATGACCTAGGAAGCTGATCATGGACTTGCTGTGTGTTTATACTACCTTTGAGTACACAGTCCTCAGGAAAAGGTCCCAGAGCAAGCCCAGCTCACTCAGGTACACTAAGGAAGTTGGTGACTGGCCTGTGTGATTTTTGGTGGACAGTCTGAGCTGCAGAGAAGTTAAGGCTACCTGCTTCTCTTGTCTGCTCAGCTTCAGTGGCCCATGCTGCACTGGGAGTTTGTGTAGCTGACAAACCTGAGACCTCTCAGGAGACCGGATATCAGGGTATGCAGTCTAAGAGTATTGGATCCCCCCAGTATTGGACACTACCCAGCTCCATTATCCCCTTGTCTACTAATACCTGCCATGGTCTCTTTTTTTTTAAATATTTATTTATTATGTATACAACATTCTGTCTCCACGTATGCCCACACGCCAGAAGAGGGTGCCAGACCTCACCGCAGATGGTCGTAAGCCACCATGTGGTTGCTGGGAATTGAACTCATGACCTCTGGAAGAGCAGCCAGTGCTCTCAACCTCTGAGCCATCTCTCCAGGCCCCCTGCCATGGTCTCTTGTCCCCCAAGGGCCTGTAGGAGACCCTCAGTCTTCTCAGTCTATTGAAATTTCCTCTGGAGGCTAGATTAGGCTAGCCTCACCTGCAGACTTTCTTTGCCAGGGTCCAGAGTTTCAGGTCAGAAGAAAAATCACCATGTAATAGTACTGTATGAGAGAAGTCTCAAGAACAGGAAGCCAACCCTCAGGTCAGGAGGACCATCTCTGGGTCCTGCTCTTCTGAGTACACCTGGCCCAAGCACAGACTTCCCTTCCTTTTGGGGGATTGTCTGGCTGATGGGGAATGTGGGCAACATAGGCCAGAGTGACCCAAAGATATCTGGCTCCTCAAGGAGGTACTCTTCCCATTTTACCTGGGTTGTCTCTCTGGGACCTAAGCCCAGACCCTCTCGGGAAGTCAAAGTTCAGAACAGTATGATCAAGGGACCGAGGCTGCGGCCAGAGCCTTCACAACTCGTCCCCTTCCGTCTTCCCAGGGTTGACACAGAAGTCTACAGTACCGCTTGACTGCACCACCTTGGGCAGCACCACAGCCCCGTGGTCCCCAGGGCATTGTGAACTTAGAGAAGAGATGATCTCAGGTGTTGGGAATCCCCATTAAATTCCCACTGAAACCTGGACCTTAGACACAGCTCTTTTGTGGAAATCCTGAACGATTCCTTGTGGGGCAGGCTTGTCTCAGCCCTTCTCTCCTAGGCACAGAACTGACAATTCTGTATCTTGTCTCATACCCTCCATTCACGCGGCACCTCCACATTCCTTCAGAGTACTTCCATGGCAGGGAAATTCAGGGGAGCCTGACGGTGCCCTGCCTGGGTGGAAGTTGGAGGAAGGACTGAGTCTGTTTTTCTGAACTGAAATTGCTTGTTGTGGCGGGGGGCCTCTACATCTAAATGCTGGAAAAGTAGAGGGATCCAAGGACAGGAGGTTGGAAAGCCTTGGGCCAGTTCTGTTTAGGTCAGCTGGACAGCAAAACCTTAGACTGTCAGCTCTTTGATTTGCTGTAGTGCCTGCCCTGAGAGCAAGGTACTGGCAGAGTCATAAACAGCCAACCTACACATCTACACAGCCGCACAGTGGGCATTTCAGTGCTGCTGAGATAATATCCCATCCCAATGCCAGCCTGTGTCTGCACAAACTGGAAGTAAAGAAAACTCCTGAGTCAGAGAATCCCATCGAAGAGGAGGATGTCTGGAACCCCACCTGCGGCACACCCCAGGCTCAGCAGAGCCGGTTTCTACAGCAGCCAAGCCTGCCCAGACCTCCAGTGACAGTAGGAAGGCAGAGTGTGGGCTCCAGGTGAGAGACAGAAGCAGAAGCTCTCTCCAGCCCAAGGCTGCTTGGTGTATGTGTGTGTGTGTGTCTGTCTGTCTGTGTGCTTCCTGGGTGCACAACCCTTGTGGGGCTGGGGATAAGAAAAGCTGGCATACCAATTGGCAGAAGTTTCTGTGACTGTGGAGCAGCTATGCCTGTGATCTGTGCCCAGTTGTGCCCTTCTGAGCCACTGGACGTGTGCTATGGACACCTTCAGTAGAACAAAAGTCAGAGTCTGGGTCTCTCTGAAAGGAAGGTGCAACTGGGGAATCGTAGGGCCTCATTGGGGACGACAGGGTTCTCCTAAAGTCTGTCACACAAGCTGAGGCGTGTGAGTCACCGAGTGTGGCAGCTCTGCCCAGTGCATGCTAGTCCAGGACCAGCCAGGGGTCCAACAAGACAGGCTCCATTCATACTGGCTGTCCTCTGAGGGTCACCCTTTGCCTCCCAACTCTCCCTCTTCCAACTGGATCGTCCAGTAACCTCCTGGAGGTTGGAGGGGTGTCAACTCGGGGAATTAGCTGTATCATCCTCATCTCCAGGGGGAGATTGTTCTTCAGCCCCACACAAACCACCCAATTCACAGGGTGAAGGAGGAGCATATCTCTCTCACTAACAACTTGAGATCATTGCCCTACTTCTTCCTTCCCTGTCTGTGACCCTCTTGGGTGCTGAATTCTGGGAAGTAGCCATCCTATGTCCTTGGTCCATGTTTCTCCTGGGCTCCTAGTTTACCACACCCAAGCCCCAACCTGGGTCCCGATTCCTACCTCCTCCATGGCTCTGGCATAGGTAGGGAAAACGCCACACGTTGCCCAGCCCCACACAGAAGCCCACACAAGTGAGCATGTACTGGGCCTTGTTGTCCCATTTGGGCCTGGAGCTGGCTTCTTCCTTTTCAATGACCTCTAATTCATCCAGAGATGGAATTCGGTCCTCTAGGCCAGGGTTGGGCAGCACAAGCCTCACCATAGTGGTCCCTGGCACACACAGGCAGTTCAGCAGCCAGAGGGCAAGTGGTGGCAGCCAGGAGCCCTGGCTCTTTATAGAGAACCTTTGGCACCTCACCCCAAGCACCTGGGCCGAAAGGAGGCGTCAGCAGATCCACAGGGCGCGTCCACAGCGCTGTTAATGCCTTATCTGCAGAGGCACCCAGCCCAACCAGCTAAGCCGCCCCCTCCATACACTGACAGGAGGTCCTGCTGCAGGCCTGGCCACCCTTCCCCCTGTACAAACCCAGACGTCAGCCAAGGTTGAGTGTGGATGGGGACAGTGACAAGCCCACTCCCCAGGAAAGAGGAGGGATCTCCACAAGATGTCCTGGGACAGCCAGCGGGATGCTGGTTCTCCCCAGACCATTGGAGCTCCCGGAAATCAGTTTCACCTATGGGAAGCTGAACAGGGACTTGCCAATCCCATCTTTTCTTCTGAAGGTGGTTGAAGGCCTGTTCCCTAGTTGCTGCTCACACGACCTGCCACACCATTCTGAGCTCTAAACGCTCCTCAGAAGACTGATTAGCTATCCACAGCACCTGGAGCCCTGCAGGATTTCTGTTCTTCCAGGGAGCGCTTAGAGGATGAGGAGATTGCTTGTGCCGATGCCAGGCAACCGTGGCAATAAGGCCTTGCCCCCAGCAGCGTGACCAGCTGAGGAGATACAGAGAAGCCAATATTGCATCAGGAATGACTACCGGGTGCCAGGAAAGGTTGAGAGTAATGAGCCTTACTTGCCTTTGAGGCTGGAAAGCCAAAGAAAAGTTCCTAGGGGTTATGTCTAAACTAAGGCCAGAAACAGAGATAGGCCCTTGTTATTATGCAAGCTTTGAGGGTAGGATTTGGATGGGGCACACCCTCTGTTTTGAATGCCTCCCCTCTATCTCTTCTGCCAATCCCACATCTCCCTCACCCCTGGGAACTATCCTGAGCTTCCCGAGGGCAAAGTATAAAGCCACCCTATGCCCCCTGCAGGCCTCCCTTCTCAAATGCCCCTCCCACCTCCTTCCGTCCAGCCTCAAGGGTCAGCTCTCCAGGGCAGCCCTTCCTGGGCTCTACTGATCCACCCTCCCCCACATCGTGTCCTTGCCACCCATGACCTTCCTAGAATTCACAGGGCTTTTTATTTTCTGTTTTCTTTCTTCCTTTTCATGGCTCTCTTTTAAGAAAAGGATGATAGAACTTTTAAATTCCGTCTCTGCTCATTTCTTTCATCAGTGATCAGCACCACGAGACAACGAAGCCCCAGATGAAGCCCCAAAGCTCAGCTTTATCCTCTTCCCCAGCTGTAGCTCCCGCTGAGGTCCCTGAAGAGCAGAGGTGAAAAGGGGGCATCACCCAGGGTGGAGCAAGTTCAGGGGCCTGACCTTTGACCGAACACACTGGGAAACTGATTGGATAGAGGCCAGAGACGAAACAAAGTTTACATTTGGAAGGAAAGGGTGAAGAAAGAGATGGAGGCGGAGACACAGAAAGATAAGAGATAGAGAAAGAGGCAGAAATAAAAACAAAGAGACTTAGATGCAGAGAGACAGAGAGAGGGGGAGGGGGAAGGGAAGGAGGGAGAGAGGGAGGGAGGGAGGGAGGGAGGGAGAGAGAGAGAGAGAGAGAGAGAGAGAGAGAGAGAGAGAGAGAGAGAGAGAGAGAATGGGATACCCAGGCCAAGGGTGGGACCTGAGGACAGAGAAGGAAGGACAGGGTGTAGTCCGGCCCAAAAGACCAGCAAGGAGGCTAAGTGAGGACTCAGGCCTGCCCTGGATATGTAGTGTGAGGCCTATGGGAGTGGCAGGAAGGACCGTGCCCACGAAAGCCTCTCTGAACAGACCAGACTTTTTCCTCCCCTCAAGTCCTCCTCTAGAGGTTCCACAGAAGAAATGAGATAAAAGAACCGGGATATGGACCCATGTCACCCGGGCAACAACCTGCGTGATCTGTGCAGAGGCCTTACATCCTGTGGGTGAGTTACACAAGCTGCCTAATGCCGGTCATTTCCTGAGAAAATGGCGGAAATGACCCTGACAGCAAGGCTGGTGCCCAGGCTGAGCGGACAGGCACTGTGCCAGGACTGGGGTCCAGATGGGGACTCTTCTGTGAGCCCTGTGGGACTCTATCATTCCCACCCATGTTTTCTTAGCACCTCCTCAACCCTGCGTGTGTCTTATCCACTGAAGGTGGGAAGCCAGATGTCCCTCCTGCCTCAACCTGAGTGGGCAAAGGAAGTCAGGGGCAGCTGTCTGGGGTCAGGGCCAAGATTTTTTCAGTCTGGGGATCTGGCTTGTGGCTGGGCATGGAGTGAGACTCAGGGAGATGCTGCCCTCTGTGATGCCACTATGAAGGGTCTCATGATATCCTACTGTTTTGTACAGTCCAGAGGCGGCCTTCTATGACCTCAGCTGTGTAGAGCAACCCAGAACAGCGTTTGCATTGCCCAGATGTTAGAGGAGCCTGCTTCCTGCTCAGAATGCTCCAGCGTCACTTTCAGCAGAGACAACCAGCCTCCAGGTGACCAGCAAGGTGCTACCCTCCTGGCTCTCAGTCAGCTCTGTAGCTTGTTCTCAGTCCTCACTGCCTTGAAGCCCTATCTAAGTCTCTCTTTTTGCTTTTTTTTTTTTTTTTTGGTTTTCGAGACAGGGTTTCTCTGTGGCTTTGGAGCCTGTCCTGGAACTAGCTCTGTAGACCAGGCTGCTCTTTTTGCATAGTGCGGTTTCTTTTCCAGGCTATACAGCTTACTGGTTCTAGGCAAACTGATCACACATACAGTGTGCCTAAGTGCTGAGCTGATGCCTAAGGCTGCTGAACCCAGGAACTCTGTGACTCTCTTCACAACGTAGCTAGAGACTTGTATATCCAGCCACAAATAACCTATCCAGTTTTTGCCTCTCCTTTCTCAGTGTGTCCCTAGGGACAGCTCAGCAGGACTGCAGGAGACTGGCCACACAGGGCCTTCCAGACAGGCAAGTTCCTTCCCTGAATCTGGGACAGTTCAGGATTACAACTGAGAGGGTGGGGTGGCCGTGTGAGCCTTTTGTTTTTACTAGAACAGCATTTGAAAACAATAATTAAAAATTATTAAAATCTACAGGAAAATATTGTCACCCCAGTCCTCAAATCTCAATCTCCAGAAAAGGTGAATGTTTCTCTCAGCACCTGAGCTGAGGAGATGATCTGAGGCCATCAGGACAGGGTCCTAGGGTCCCACAGAATGTCCTCCATTCACACAGTCCACCCCCTGGTGGCCTTATGCCAGCTCTTGGGAGCAGACTGCTAGCTAGTTCATGTTCTCAGTAACACTTTTTACTATCAACACAATTACCAGTCCATTAAGAGGACAGGTGTTTCCAACTCCAGACTGGAGAAGACACAGTGAGTCCTCTTCGTCCCTTAGTTCACTGTTGAGTGTGACGGACACTCTGTCCCTCCATCCTTCCCTGCTTTCCTCCTGTGTCCCAGTATCGATACCTGATTTTCACTTAACACTGTATCTTGACGCCTTTCCTTCCATGAATTTTTCAAATAGTTTAAATAACTTTTAATTCTTAGTTTTAAAATTAAACTTTTATTCACGTCTTCTCCCACATACCATGTCTGAGTTGTGACATGGTGAGATTTTAGTGTACTAGGTACCCATAATTCTTCACCCAAAACTTCCTGAGTACAGCCCTTCTGATTTCAGCCTCCTGTGTGTATCCACACTCACTCTGTAGTGCCGTGTCGAAACACCTGTTGCTACCGTTTGTGTCCAGAGTGTCACCTGCAGGTCACACGCTGCAGCTTGGTCCTCGGGTGGCAGTGTTGAAAGTGATGGGACCTGTGAGAACAGGGTGTAAGGAGGCTGTAGGTCACTGGGAATGTGGCCTCAAACGGGGAAGATAGGAGTTTCTTTGTTACTTTCTTAGCCGTATGAGCTTCTCATGATATGATTGATGGCTTGGCCTAAGAGCAACAGGCGAGTCATGGACTTGAACCTCCAAAACTATGAGACTAAACAAGCCTTTCCTCCTTGTAAGTGGCACATCTGAGGTATTTGTTATGGAACGGAAAGATGGTTGGTTCAAGCATTTCTTTCCAGATGGATGACTTTTTATGATGCTAATAAATTTTTGTAACTACCACACATTCCATAATTCCAAAGCTCCTCCTGTCTCCCAGGCATTTGCCCCTCCTTCTGAGACTGAGTTTCTTTTGAGGACTCTTGAGCATCCTGAAGGGCCCATGCAGTCTCTTGTCACCCAGCGCTATGATGAAGTCAGATGAGTGTATAGTAACCACTTCCTAAATATAAGACCAGTAACATAGACACTGAGAGCAACAATAAATACAGGGGACCTTCTGAAACTGAGAAGTTCTGGAAGGCAAAGGACACAGTCAATAAGATAAAATGGAAGCCTACAGAATGGGAAAAAATCTTCACCAACCCCACATCAGACAGAGGACTGATCTCCAAAATATATAAAGAATTCAAGAAACTAGACATCAAAATACTAAATAATCCAATAAAAATGAGTAGAAATATAAACAGAGAATTCTCAACAGAAGAATCTCAAATGGCTGAAAGTCATTTAAGGAACTGCTCAACATCCTTAGCCATCAGGGAAATGCAAATAGAAACAACTCTGAGGTACCCTCTTACACCAATAAGAATGGCTAAGATCAAAAACACCAATGATAACTTATGCTAGAGAGGATGCAGAGTAAGGGAAACACTCCTCCATTGCTGATGGGAAAACAAACTTGCATAGTCATTTTGGAAATCAATGTGATGGTTTCTCAGAAAATTTGAAATCAGCCTACCTCAAGTCCCAGCAATACCACTCTTGGGCATATACCCAAAATATGCTCAATCATACTGCAAGGACATATGCTCAACTATGCTCATAGCAGCATTATTTGTAATAGCCAGAACCTGGAAACAACCCTGATACCCCTCAACCAAAGAATGAATAAAGAAAATGTGTTACACATGGAGTACTACTCAGTGATAAAAAAAAAAGACATCTTGAAATTTGCATGCAAATGGATGAAACTAGAAAAAAAAAACATCCTGAGTGAGGCAACCCAGACCCAAAAAGACAAACATGGCATGTAGTCACTCATAAGTGGGGAATATTAGATATAAAGCAAAGGATAACCAGCCTGTAGTCCACAACCCCAGAGAAGCTAGGTAGCAAGGAGAACCCTAAGAGAAACATATACGGATCTTCCGCTGGGAAGGGGAATAGAAAATTGCCTGAGAAAACTGGGAGTGTGGGAGTGGGAGGAGAAGGGAGGGTGGAAGGGGGAAAGGAAGGGAGAGGAGGGGAGAGGAGAACTTGAAAAATCAGGATAGTTGAGGTGGATGAAGTACAGAGAGGGAGAGCAAGGAAAGAGATACCTTGATTGAGGGAGCCATTGCGGGACTAGCAAGAAACCTGGCACTAGGGAAATTTCCAGGAATCCACAAGGATGACCCCAGCTAAGCTCCTAAGCAATAGGAGCCTTCTCCTGTAATCAGATTGATGACTACCTTTATTGTCATCATATAGCCTTCATCCAGCAACAGATGGAAGTAGACACAGAGATCCACAGCTAAGCATTGGGCTGAGCTCCCAAAGTCCACTCGAAGAGAGGGCAGAGCAATAATATGAGCAAAGGAGTCCAGACCTTGATGGGGACACCCACAGAAACAGCTGACCTGAGCTAATGGGAGCTCATTGACTCTGGACTGACAGTGGGTAAACCAGCATAGCACCAAACTAAGCCTTCTAGATGTGGGGGACAGTTGTGAGGCTGGGGCAGTCTGTGGAGCCACTGGTAGTGGGACCAGGATTTTTCCCTAGGGCTTGAACTGGCTTTTTGGAGCCTGCCTCTAGTAGTGACACACTTTCCCCAGCAAGGCCACACCTCTTCATCCTATCCAAACAACTACACCCACTAGATAGCAAGTACTCAAACATCTGAGCCTGGTGGGGGGAGGGGGCACTCTCATTAAAACCACTAAGGGAACTGGGAAATGGTGACCCATGCCTTTAATCCCAACACTCAGGATGCAAAAGCAGGCAGATCTCTGTGGGTTTTAGGTTAGCCTAGTCTTTGAAAGGAGTTTTAGGGCAGAGAAGGCTACACAGAGAAACCCTGTCCTTTTTTTTTTTAATTTATTTATTTATTAAAGATTTCTGCCTCCTCCCCGCCACCACCTCCCATTTCCCTTTCCCTCCCCCGATCAAGTCCCTCTCCCTGTCAGCCCGAAGAGCAACCAGGGTTCCCTGCCCTGTGGGAAGTCCAAGGACTACCCACCTTTATCCAGGTCTAGTAAGGTGAGCATCCAAACTGCCTAGGCTCCCACAAAGCCAGTACGTGCAGTAGGATCAGAACCCAGTGCTATTGAGAAACCCTGTCTTAAAAGAACTACAAAACAAAACAAACAACAAAAACCCACTACAGGAAAAAGTAAGGTCTCCAGGGGGAGGACCTAGAGGGGATATGGAACCCTGTCCACACACTTCTTGGCAGCCATGAGGTAATAACTCTGCTCCACGACAGGCTCCCACCATGATATACTGCTTCACCACAGGCGTAAAACCTAGTGACCATGAAGCAAAACCTCTGAAACCTTTCTTCCTGTAAGCTGATTATCACAGGGGTTTTGTCCCAGCAATGGAAAGCTGGGCCAGCATGGATCCTTTACCCTTTAGTACTGTAAACATCGGCTGTTCAATTCATGAAGACAAGGTAGCAGTTTATTCAACGTAAGCTAGGCCACACTGCAATTACAAACACTCCCAACCGTACAGGACAACAAGTATTAATGAGTCACAGAAAGTGTCCTGAAGGCTGAGATGACCCTAGGACAGCTGTATCTCCATATCTACCTGACTATCCATGACTGAGGAGAAAGGTCAAGGATGAGCCATTCTGCTGACTAAAGGAGTCACATAGCTACCAGCTCTTTTAAGGGGTGAGGAGGGCAGGCCCGTGAGGTTGCAATGGAGAATGGGAAGTAGTAATGACAGGCACTCACGGTTGCCAGAGTGGATGCATGATGGTTGGTTAGACACAATGTGGTTTCCCGAGCCCATACTCTCCGCCACAGTCCTTGCAGTTTCTTCTTCTGTGCTGGGCAGGCATACCCAGACTCCAGGCACTTGTTTCTGAGCATCCTGACAGGGCAAGTAGTTTCTGTATCCAAAGGATGATGCCCTTTCAGACAGTGTGTCCACCCTGTTCTGTCTTCAGGACTCTGAAGTCTGTAACAACTGCTTGGTTACTATAGCTTGAGGAAGTGGTCAGCCACCTGGCTTAGTTCTCACCAATGGACAGTGTTTCTGCATCACTAGGCCCAAGAGCTGGTCCCCAAGTGGCCAGCAGCATGAACATTCCTGGTCCTTAGAGATGCTTGTGTTGGCAATCCTACCATGGGAATCACTCTGGCTGCTAACAGGGTGCTAGGGGGCAGATGAGCCGATAGTGAGGCTACTTTCCATGACCTGCCTGTGTCTGAAGGCTCCTCCTCAACTGCCCTCTTCTTTGCCCTCCTCCCAGAAGAATGACTTCCCTATTGGGTGGGGACAGCTGCAGAGAGTGTGCTCTTTCAGTAAGAGAAGAATGTCATGGAAGCCAAGCTTGGCCATCAGTTCTTTTGCCACTCACTACACATGCTCTACCAAAGCAGGTCTCAAGGCCACCAGCCCAAAGCCTAAATGTCCCTAAAGGACTGGGTCCAGCATTCTGCAGACTCTACCCAGATCTAAAGAGCAGGGACAGTTGTGGGAGGGCATTTGGCATGCTCAGGTGTCCTTCCAGGAGAAGACCAAAGCTCACACTGTTGAGGGACAGTCATTCATAGTAACACCCCATCTTCTGTGGCTGATAGACTGTGTCAGAGCAGCCACCCAGGCATGCATTGACTAAAGAGAATTGCTGGGGTCTGGATCATTCTTAACTGCATTGTGGAGCCAACTGAGAGAAGAATATGAAGCCCAGTCATGATGCCCTCATCAGTGTCTACCTTGTGTTTTTCTTATAAGAGCAAAGGCGGGAATTGGGGAAAAACCTGGAGCAAGGTGCCTAGCACAAAGACTGAGAAGTGATGGTCCGAAAACCCTGGTGCCCATCTAGTGAGGCCCAGAGGAGAATCCACTCTGCTGGCTCTCCTGAGCCCTCCTGCGTGGGGCCTCCAGGAAGGGCTAATTGGTAAAAGGCCATGGAGGAAAGCCATCAGGAGAAAGCTCGTGATGGGCAGTCATTAACCTTTGTCTGGAGCAGTTTGTTTACAGGGGAGCTATGTTGGGAGGCCAGAGTTGCTGAGCAGCAGCCTCAGAAGTCACGAGACTCCGGATGCAGCAGCTTCTGCTAAGCCTCAGTATTGACTCTGAGCCTTCAGTTAAACCCACGAGATTAGCCTCACCCCTTAAAGTCATCTCTGCACATTTGTCTGTGTGCTCCTGCCTTTGTCTTCCTCGGAGACAACGCTAGAAGGAAACACAGAGCAACTTCTCTGTGGCAGGAGTGTGTGTTTGTGTCTACATACATAAACGGGGGAGATAGCAGAGAAACAGAAACAAGGGAGGGAATAGTGCTTGGTGCTGAAAGCATCAGAAATGTACTGTGGGCCTCTGAGCTCTGGCTACAAGGAGGAGACCTCCCCACATCCCTGCCTCAGACAGAACTTGGGATGCAGCTGTCTGAGATGTTGGCCCAGCTTCTCACCCCTCAGGTCTGGCAAGGCAGCCTTCAACCTAAAAGTGATTACCACCAGCCAGATGCTGTTTATTGGAGATCTCGGTGAAAACAATCCAGGATATGGCTTGGTTTTGTCTTTGAGTTAAAGTGACAGCTGACCCTGGCATTGTGCAGACAAAAAGGGGAGCCAGAATGGCCAGCGCCTCCCTGAGCACATCCACAGCCTAAGTCTTCAGAGCCACCTTCCACTTCGCTGCTAGTAGCCGGGGCACCGCTGCAATCCTTAGCAATCCAGACGTCTCTGTTCAGAAGCCTTCCCTATTCTTTGCATACAGAATTTCTCAAAAAGTGGCTGATGATTAACAGAGATGAAGGGTACTTCCAGGAAGGGTCCCTCAACCCTCTGAAAGCATCGGTCAGGTATTACTTCAATTGTCCAGTTGAAGAAATAGAAAATCATATCTTATGGAATTGGCTATGTCTCTTTAACTTCTAGCTAGCTTGGCATTTTTCATATTCCCTGGCTTCTATAGGTTTTCTATGGCAAATCGCTCTGTCTATTTCCAGGGGTTAGCAGTCTAAGCAAAGCCTTCTTGAGCCTTTGCATGTCACAACTGTCAAGCCCATAACAGCCTCCACGGGCCCATGTATCCCAGGCCCCTGGGCTGAGGCACTGAGAAAGTGGGGAGGATGAGAACTGTGTAGACAGACTCTGGGGTGAGACTTCCCTGCCCCCAGAGCAACGTGCCCCTACTAGAAGGCTCTGGTGAGTGACCTTCAGGGGTTTCTTGGCAGCTACCAACCTGTTAGATGTTTCACTGGGGACTAGTCCAGCCCACAGTTTCAGGGAAGATTCAGTGTTTTAGGAAGGAAGAGAAGGGAGGAATTCCTGACTGTCTCTAACTAGAGGAGCTTGGCAGATCCCCATCCTCCAGGATCCATTGCCAAGACAACTCCAAGAGGTCCTGCAGCGGGGAGTCTAGTGGGAAGGTGAGAGCTGGGGCTGAACTCTGAGGAATCTGGGGGTTTGAAGGTCCCACGCAAGAGTCAAATGGCCTTGGGGGAAAAGGCTGAGGCCAAGAGCTGCTTAAAAAGATGACTCATGGGGAAGGAGTCCTTGGTCTGTCCACCTGATCCTAGAGACTGAAGAGGGATAGAATTCCCCCTTCTCAGGCTTCCATCCTACGAACAGGACAAAGGTGGCACCCAAGGTCATGACATAACTCAATCCCACTCTGAGTTGGCACTTGGCTGCTGTTCAAGCCGTGTTTAGGAACTCTCAAACGGTCTTTAGGTAAATGGCCCATGCAGGATTAACCATCAACCACGGATCTGTCTTCTAGGCATGCTCTCTGGTCAGTACTTTTCCAAGATGGATCCATGCCTTGCAGATGTCTATGAGAGAAGCCAGAAAAAAAGGTAGAGCCTAAACCTTGCACCTCCCTTGAATTTGTGGTCCTGAAGTCCTGCAACAACTGCCCTAGAGTGAATTGTGCTCCCTAAATCCAACCAGCTTCTGTTCTCAGGGCAGACACCCTGCTCCTGGTGATCTGAACACTGATCCCAAACCTCCTGAGTTGTTCTCTGGGTCTCCTCACACTCCCAGCATTATTTATCATTATGGCCAATCCGATCCTTTACCCCTCGTGCCTTTCCACCTTCATTTACTAGCTCAAGTCCATGATGTGCAGAGCCCCACCTTTGACTTCCCAGAGAGTACCAGCTCCTTGTTTGTCCCCAGACTGCCCTGCCCACTGTGTTCCCACTGGCTGTCCTTGTGAATCCCAAGAGTCCTGCATCTCGGCATTGAGATCTTGCCCTGACCTGGGAGTTGGCTTCCAAGTAATTATGACTCTGGTCATGTGTAATTGCAGTGTAATTGACTTGTATAAAAAGGAACCGCTATTAAAGAAGACACTGGGCTTGGCCCTTTTCACTAGCTTACTAATCCCTCTGCAGACAAAGAGGGGCCGCATGCAGCTGTGTTTTCAAACTAGAAGGAAGCATAGTGAAGGGGACAATTCAGAAAAGAACTCACAGCTCATGAGTAGCCAGCCTTCAGAAATACCTCTGGATGTGCCCAACCTTTCTATGGAGTCTTCCACCCTCTACAGTCGATCTCACTGGATGGACTCTGAGCTCACCATGAGCCAATGCAACCAAATTCTTCAGAGCTCTCTCTGGTTCATATACTGTGAGGTTCCAGGACCAACATACTTAGCAGGAAACTCCCCTTCTCTTTTCTCTTATAAACAGTGTAAGGCTGAACAAAGGTGAGCTTCTCTAAATTCCTATTGCATCATACTCAGGACCTTCCCACAGATAGCCAGCTGTGGGAGAGTGTCTGGGGCACTGAACCCTTTCCCATGAGAGTGCAAGGCTATGCCTGAGGGGGGGTTCTACCCCTGGGAATCTTGGAAGGTTTCCATTAAGTCTGGAGCACAGGAAAGGAATTTTCCTAGGTTGGGGAGACAGGAGACTTTTAATGTCACCAGGGCTTACTACAAGATTACATCAGAAACTCTGAAACAGTCTGTTGGTGCTTGGGTGGAGGGTGGCTTATGACTAGGAAGTTTCTAAAGAAAAAAAAGCTAGACCTCTGTTCTAACAGCAAGTTTGGTTGGAGTGAGCAAGGCCTGGCCCTTACATCCTAGGACAAGAACTTCTTGAGGACCCCTGTATGCAGGGTCACAACAGGATTGTTCTATGCTCTAAGAGTTTAGAATATAGAAGAGAAGAAACACACTCAGGTAGAGTGGTGAAGAAGGGCACTCATCTGAATGCTCAGGTGAAACAATCAGGCACAATCAGACAATGCAGAGCTCAGGGAGGCAGAAAGGGTAGGCAGAAGCAGAGAGGGAGGACCTAGGGACTAGGCATGGTGATGGAGGTGGGGCTGGTGACAGGAAACTAGAGAAACCAGCAGAGCCCAGATGAACAGGATGGAGGACTCACTGTCTCATCTGGGATGCAAACGCCCATGTTTTGAAACGAGGGCTGACTGACATAGGAGAGAACCCGGGGGACCAAGGAGGAGAACCAGGAATCCAATGGAGAGACCAAGCTTCAATGACCAAGACTCAGGGGAGACTAAGATGAAGCCTGGGAAGCCAGGGAGAAAACCCAAGCAGGAAGAGTAAGAAGAGGAGGAAGGAGGGTAGAGGGGCAGTGGCTATCAGGGGTCAGCTTGGAACTGTCTAGGACAAGGTCTAGGACAAGGTGTGGCCTCAAGATTGGTAGCCAGAGTTCAGAGGACAAAGCTGAGGAAGGGATTACTCGGGGGGGGGGGGGGGGGCAATGAGTCACGTTAGAACTTTGAAGAATGAGCCAGGTGCTGAGTGGAGCAGAGAGGCAGGTGCTAAGGTCACCAGAAGCCAAAGGAAGGACTGGAAGTCCTAGTGGCAGGGGAGTTCTGGAGGATCTTCTGTGGGGGTCAGGATCCTTGCCATGTATTCTGGCAAGCATATGACATTTCACTCCAAGAGGCCACTTAAAGGGAGAACAAAATCCTCTCTCTTCCTTATTCCCTCTCCCTGCCTCTCCATCTTCCCTATTCTTTTCCCTCTTCTTCCCTTTCTTTCTCTTATCCCCCCGCCCCTCACTCAGAGCAGGCGTGACCTGTTGTTCCTAGGACTTTGCCTGGGCCACTCCCATCTCCCACCCACTCTTCTAGCTTACCTTGGCCTTGGGTAAAGCTTTACTCCTCACGGTTCATTAGTCACTGTATCCCAGAACCTAGCTCTGCCCTTGGTGCCCAGCTCAGGAAAAGAGCAAAGACTTCCTGAAAGGCTATAAACCCTGAAGTGTACAGCGAGATGCAGCCAAGCTGGCAGATTCCACGTGACTCCCCCCCAGTGGTCATGGTGCAGTACTACCTTACCTGAAGTATCAAATGACAAAGTCACCTCCTTGAAAAGAACCTGAGAGAGAATAGGAGACAGCAAGCAATACCAAAGGCAGAGAACTTAGAATTTGAGCTACCAAGGTGAGACCGTATAGAAAGAATGCCATGGAAATAAGGGGGCCTAGAGGACATTCCTATACTCCCTAGAAACCTTGAAAGTACAAGAAAGGCCTTAAAAGGCTTCTTGCTGAGCACTGGGGTAAAGTGCTGGAGAATCTCAATTCTGGGTACTATTTCCAGTGTATCAGTGTAATCTGATCCTGGCCTCTGGTCATAGAAAAGTTCCACCATGTATGACTGAATGATTCAACAGAAGAATGGAGGATGGATGGATGGATGGATGGATGGATGGATGGATGGGTGGATGGATGGACGGATGGGTGGATGGATGGGTGGGTGGGTGGGTGGATGGATGGGTGGGTGGATGTGGGGGCAGATGGATGGAGGATGGTGAGTGGATGGTAGTGGATAAATTATTTAATAAGTAGATGTTATATGAATGGATTGTAGACAGATGGCTCAATGGTGGTATATAGATGGTGAACGGACGTTTATGATGGGTAGCTGGGTGAAACTACAAAGGTGGTGAGTGGCTGGATGATAGATGGATGAGTAGATGGATAGATGGTGAGCATTCAGAGCCATTCAGGCATGAGGAGTCTGTCAGACTTAAACACTCAGAGCGTGCACTTAACAAAGTGCAGGGGAAGCGGGTGGCAGGGTCTCGGGCACAAACAGGTTTGTGAAATCATCATCCCATTGCAGTAAGTGTAGCATTCTCTTACTGATTCAGATTCTGCACATACACAGAACACCTATCTTTAAAAACAACTCTCTTTTCTACATGCAAGACAACCAAGTTCAATTGTAGACATTCTAATAAAAGCAACAAGAGGAGTATATGGAATCTTCAGATATTTTGGAAATAAATCACATGCACCAAGTTTCTTCATTTCCTTGTACTTCACATCTGATTCAGGGTTTGAGGATGCCAGCATAAACCTTCATGGGATTCCAGCCAGCCATGCAGGTTCTCAGAGCCAGGGCACCTGGAAGTTTATCGCAAGGGCTTGGCTGATAGAACATCACCAACACCGGTGCCAGGCCCTATTCCTGAGTCCTGAATGAGGGAGAAGCCCCTGAGAACTGTCCTACAGCCTCCTTTGCTGCACACAGAGAGTCCTGGAAGTGGCTAGTGAGCCCTTTCTGCAGCTGTCTGTGTCCACAAACTCCAGTGAATGGTTTTAGAGAAAGGGGAAAAGCCAAGGGGCTAAGCACCGTGGCCCTATCCATCAGCCCATGAGACACCAGCTCAAGAAGAACATCAAGTGGCCTGCTAGCTTGAGGTTTTTTGAGTCCAAGACTCTGGAGGCATCAAAGGGAAAAGGTGCTGCCTCTGCCCTTCTCAAAATAGGTTAGGACCACCTGAGAGAGTACATGGGTATGTTAAAACCATATCGGAGAAAAAAGCCTTGAGAACTTACTAAACATTGCAGTCCAAAAAACAAGGTGATACCCAAACTTGGACCCTAACATTGTGATGCTGGAAATCCCCCGCACCTATTATCCGACCACCTGCAAAAGATGAAGGGTGTGCATACAACAGCCAGATCGCATGCCACCTGAAGCAACGTGGGCACTTAAGGCTCAGGTCACTTCTGCAGGTCAAGGGGTGAGAATTTATCTTCCATGAGGTGTGCTTGCCCCAGGAGAGAATGTGTCAGTGTATACATAGGAGGGTCCGAGAAATACATTCTCCAGACCTCACTCACTCCTCTACATTGTGGGTTCTACTGACAAGCAAGTTTTTTCTAGACTCCAAGGGCTCTAGTTCAGAATGCTGTCAGGAGAGCCAGGCACTCTTTTTTATTTTTATTTTTTTAAAAGAAAATATACTATCTTTTTTCATTATACATATCAATTTCAGTTCCCACTCCCTCCCCTCCTCCCATTCCCTCTACCTACACCCTCCCATCCCCCATCCACTCCTCAGAGAGGGAAGACACATTACTTTGGGGAAGGTCCAAGGCCCTCCCTACTATATCTAGGCTGAACAAGGTATCTATCCAAAGAGAATGAATTCCAAAAAACTCTTGAGGGAGGGTGAGTGAAGGCACGCTGGACTGTGGGGCGGGGAACTGACCACTGTCAAACCAGTTCTCATGGGAAACATTTTATACACCTAAGCCCATTAGTGTCCAAGTGTCTGTTCCATTAGTAATATCACAGCATAATAGTACATTTACTCCAAATTCTGTCCCACATGGGAAAATTAGATGGTTTCCAATACTTTCTTCAGCTCCACAATAAGCTGCCAGTTGCTCTTCTGTATTTCGTCTCTGAACCAGTCTTTGAGGGCATCAGCGGACTGCCAGCTGATATTGCTCACAAGAATGTCCATAGTGAAGCAGAGGTCTTTGAGGAACACTGCTTTCTGGCTTGTTCTTCATGGCTTGCTCAGTCCTCTTACTCATATAGCCCAAGGGTAGCATCACCTACAAAGAACTGGGCTCTTCCATATCAATTATTAGCAAAGAAAATGTTCCACAGACTTGCCTACAGGCCAATCTGATGGAGGTATTTTTTTTCAATTGAGAGTC